CTTTTTTTTAATATATAAAATAGGTATTAATGAGATAATCTATTGATTATGTTTGTCTAACTGCTACACATGTATTTTATACATAAATGTAGATATTTGTGAACATCTAAATATAGTTGTTAAAGGTTTTAAGATATACATAATCACATCATGGGGTCATTAAGGAACAAATTAGGAGGGCCAGTCAGGCCACTAATGAGCTCAATCATTCACATGTATTATTACTTTATAAATTAAAAGTACTAGGGGTCTATTACAAAACCTTTGAAGGAATCGCATCAATTAAAATAAATGTATGGCAAGTATGATCAAATTAACATAATGTCAAGATATAGCCAATAGACAATCAACATGCTTTGAATATAAAGGAAGAAGAACAATAAACAGATGAACATTTAGGTTTTATGTGTAAATTGTGAACAAACCATCTTAATACATCTGGCAGTCTAAGACAGCAAACTAAGCTTCTTTAACTGCTGCTAGAACACAGTTTTACCATGGGGTATTTCTAACAAGACCAAAAAGATATACAAGGCTTCCAAAACAGAAGAAACCAACTCAATACAGTATTTTAATTTCCTTCAAAACGACAAAAGCACTAATAAAAACCAAATAACAACATAAAGGAAAAGTAATTGAAGTGGTTGCCTGTTGTAAATACCTTGGTATCTGGCTTGATGATTGTCTCTTCTCTTGCGTTCGGTCATACCCCCCTTCCCATACTATTATCGGTCAAAATTGGCCGGTGTGTTTTGCACAGTGATATTTCTGGAACCCCTTATCCCATTTTGATGGTTGACATCTCATTTGAACAGTCACAGCCAGAATGACAGCAGGGGTGAATTTCATTTTATAATTTTGCAATAAGTCAAAGATATGTTTACTGTATATTATAAAAATGCTTGTCATGTAGGCATACTGGAGATGGGAAGGCTTTAGTCAGTGTTGTAGCTGAGATTCTTACCGTTCCAATGATGTATTAATAATAACTTGGATTTATATAGCGCCTTTCATGAGACCGAAGGTCGCTTTAAAAAGAACAGGAGTAGAAACAAACATAACAAAAAGCAGTCAGACGAACAGTTAGAACAAATAGATTTGGGGCCAAAGACCTTGGCAGACTTGAGGGCCCTTTTGAAGGCGTCAAGCGTGGGGATGTTGCAGATCTCCGCAGGGAGAGCGTTCCAGAGAGTGGGGGCTGCCATACTGAAGGCTCTGTCCCCGAAGGATCGCAGGTTGGTGCGGGGGGCCAGAGTCTGAAGACCGCAGGTTCCGGGGTAGGGCATGTGGGAATTGTATTGATTTGATACAAGCAAGCCAGTGTTTCATTGTGTACTTTCAACTACAGTATATGGTCCGGCAAGTTCAGCATTCACTGCATTCACTGTGATGAATATACAATAAGACACTGATACCGTTTTCCTCAATGAACATTTATTGAACAGAACATCATGTGGAAAATCAGAGGGGCACTATTCAAGCTGGTCTGCTTAAAAAAAAAAAAAATAACCTTTTAAATTGATCCCAACAGTAAAATCAACATGATTTTAAATAAAAATGTAAGCAGCCAGGATTGACCTGCAGGAGGTTAAAGCCTATTTAAAAACTCCTCGGAATCCAAAGCTCTTCGGAATCTTTCACTGGAGTCCTTCAGCCTTTGGTGCGCTTCCTCACTCATGTTCTTGGTGAGGTAATGAGAACAAAGTTCCATCTCACTGATAAGACAAGATGGTATAAAGAAGTCATATATGTAATATTATAAATTCACATGCATCAGGGGTTGTACACTTTAAATGGAAATTGTATAGCATTCTCCTCATGTTTCCAGCTTACCTCCAGTCATACTCGGGTCCACATTTATACGTTTCCTTGGCTCTTTCAAGGGAAACCGAGAGTACAGCTGCAAGGGCGTGGACTGTCGCCTGTGTCATGAAGGGATTAAAGCCACACGTTTAACAGTTAGAGTAAAATGTAGACATCCAATAAAGGTTGTGCCATTCTGCAGGTGACAATTATGCCAGACTAATTGGCATCAACATTCTACTGGACATTGACCATGAGTTTAAGTGCAACATATGTAATTTTATATAATGTGTAGTCGACAAATAAAAAGTCAGTGAAATCTAACCTCTGGCAGAAGCACATCCATGACGAATGCCACCTCATCTGTGAACCTTCTCTCCGTCTGTGTCCGGACGGAAGGTGTCCAAGTCCAATTTGTTGAGCTCTGGGCGTGCTCCATCACGGAGTGTTGTGTTGTTTGTCTATAGGTGAATAAAATAGAATACAATTTCAGTGACTTTAATATTGGAAATAGTTAACTCCTTAAACAAGCAGCAATGGACTGGCCTGTATAATCCTATGGGAGAAAGCTGGTCATACTTCCTCACTTTCAGAAGGTAACCCTTTAACTGCCAGCGCCACCATTTGGTAGAGCACATTTTGTGTCTTGATATCTTGTTGAAAAAAAAAAAAGTTTAACTCCATCTGATTCAGCCAGCTCTACCCTTTTGGTTGACATGTTATGCACAAAACAACCTCTAGATGTCACTGTGGTTCGAACAGAAAGCCCTTCAGCTAGTTTAAATCTTTATATATACAGTCTATGGTTTAAATGTCAGGCCTACAGCATGGCCACAAACCCCATCTAAAAACAGAGGCCTGATTGCATCCACCTGGGTTACTTGGCTCTACCCAATAACTATATATTATTTAACTTTAAACCACACTTAAAATAATAATATAATTATACATATGTGCATGTCAGTATAGCAGCTAATACATGTTTTTTTTTTTTAAAACATTCAAATGTGAAAGACACCTTCAATGAATATTTAAAACTTACACAAAATCAGATTCCTGTAAAAATGCGAGTACATGCATTGTTCCATCTGTCAAGCTAAAATATATACATATATCTTAGCTCTTAGCTTGACATGCTAACTGAACGAGCATGTTCAGTTAGCATATATGCTAACTGAACGTCGAGCATGTCAAGCTAAGAGCTAAGATATATATATATATATATATATATATATATATGTATATATATATATGTATTCCATTCCTTTACATTTAATATTTAAAATACAAATTAGCAAAATAAACACAATTACACTGCGCTAAACAGCCACATCGACAAACAAACAAGAACCTAAATAGTATGTAATTATATCTAAAACCACAATACGTTAATTACCTGTACTCGGTGCGCCATATTGTTTGTCTGTTCTCTGTAAACCTCATGTCTCCTTAAATATCCTTGCGTCAGCGTCAGTGTCGTCAATTCGCTTTTAATCTGCCATGTACGGTAATGTCTCTCAGCCACCGTAGTGTCGTGTCAGGTGGGCGTGTCGTGTAGGGGGCGTGTCGTGTAGTGTCGTGTACTGGCCGCGGCCGCAGCTAGACCCTTCTCGCAGCAGCAGCCACTAGCAGCTGACTGTTGCTATCTGTAATGTGTAAACTATGCCGCGAAAACATAATTTCAGCCAATCAGCGTCGTCAAATATGATGGTCACAGGGCTCCTACGTGAGCGCCCGGTGCAGTCTGTGAGTTGTTTGGACTCGTATCCAAGGAGACAAAACAGGAAGCTGTCATACACTCTGGAAGCTACCATTAGCAGCTAATGAAAACTCCGTTTTTGACATAAAAATGGAATTATGGATCATCAATCATTTTTCAAAGTGACAGACACATTGGATTAACCTATGGATTAACCTTCAGCTGCGTTTTTCTCGTCTTTGATCAGAATTGTTATTCTGCAAAAGGTAAGCATATCTCCATGTTTTGCTACCTAAAGCTACGTCGTGTGATGTCTGTATTCGCTTCCCCTGTCGCGAGTTCTGATCGCTCAGTGATGATACTTATATTTCTAGAATATGTGGAATCTCAGCTTGTAAGCTTGTTTGTGCATATCCGATAAGTATATCGATTGATTTATACCTAGAGTGCGTTAGCATTTTTTCGCTCAGGGCTCATTTAGACGCTTCTTGTGAGACTTGTGTTTTGTTTCGGTAAACATGGTTCATATCATCAGTTAGAGGCGTTTCCTCTGAGTAGGACACATGAATAGTTTATTACATTTTAAGAAGCCCTGAGACACAGTTTCGTGAGAAAAAAAAACGGGGGAAAAAAGCCCCTTAACAGGTTAAATGGGAATTAAATCAGTGTTCCCAAAGCCCCGGTGTTCTGCAGTTTGTGTGGGCCTACTGTACTGTTGCACAGTTTATGCTGTAGAAACTATGTCCAGGACAAGGTGTTTGGAAGTTTTGGAAGATTCATAGCTAACCACACTGAAGTTATGGAGGTATTGATCAGTCTTCTCATATTTTTAAGCCTCAAATTGTCCTTCTCCTCCCCCCCCCCCCCCCCCCCCTCCCCCCCTCTAACATCACCAGAAGTCATGATTTAAGGGGTCTTTTCTCAAAAAACATTACCGGGGGAGCATCCCCCCAGACTCCTCTAGTATTGTTTGATCACCATTTCCACAGCCCCACCTAAAATATTTTCCACCAGCCGCCACTGCCTGCAAGATTTACCTGTGACAAATGTCAGCGATGTGAACAGAACTGTCGCCCTACTTCCACCTGCACCCAGCAGCAAGCGGGAGAACGATATCTCATACAGTCGACCCCTAAAACAGTTCACACAGTAATGGAACAGTTGTTAAGCATTATTTTGTCCAACTAGTCTACATAATGAATTTGATGTTTGTCTAAACTGCTAAGAAGCTGACAGCTGAGTTACAACAGAAAGACATGCAGGCCATAATCACTAGACGCTCAAAAGAGGAATGTGTGTGTAAGGCTGACATGAACTGAATTGAAACCCCATTTATATATACAGTCTATGATTGAAACACTGTCCATTAGTTGATTAATAAACAAGACATTCAAGTCAAAGTTTTAGGCATTTTCATTTGTAGCATGCTGTAAATATGGACTATGAATGAACACATGCAATGTGGAACACTGAAAAAAAGGACTTTTTGGCTTTGTAAAGTATTATTATTTTTAGTAACGACCCCATCTCTGCCCCCGCAGACATGCACTGACAGTCTACTCAGAAGGTTGACATTTGAGTGGAACTTGAAGACTGCTTGGTCGACCATTTCATTTGAATATTCATCGATGTGGAGTCATGTGAGTATGTTTATGTGCTTGGTTAACTTGTTACATTCCTATTAGCTTGTCAGCTGAAGTCAGTATTTGGTTATTCAAAATGTAAGGCTAAGTTAGCTAACATTAGCCGACAGATTAGCTGGCTAACTAGCTCATTATCGTGCTAGCAAACTTAGCCCGGTTTCATGCAAGTTGCACAAATCAGATATAATATATATTTTTTAATGGCTTATTTGAAGCTTCAAAGTTGTCGGCTACGACAACATTCGCCGTTTATAATGGAAACTATGGCACTGGCGCACTTTTTAAAATTTGAATAGTTTTTTATTTCGGGAGAGGGGGGTGTTCATGGCTCTAGCTCGACAAAATAAATACTCAACAGTATGTGCGACGCTACGTGATGCGGTCAGTTTCACTGCAGCCTAGAGAAGGACAAAGTGGTCATGGAATATTATATTTGCAATGAAATATGAACAGCGCAATTTAAAAGGTGAGTGTGTCTGTGTGTTTGCCTCGATGGATTCACTGTTGGCGCTTTACCAGTGCAGCACTTAGCACAGTTTGGTTTGTCCCGGCCCGTAACACCATACTGATACCGGTTAGTAAAAACCATGAATTAATGCTTTGACAAGTCTGCGGTTTGTACTTGTTTCACTTTTGTCTAGTTTCTGAACAAATATGAGGAGCTGTGAGCTCTGAGTGCTAACAGCTAACGGCTGATGTTCCGGTGTGAACGCGGCTATTGAAGATTCCTGCAGTACAGGAAGTGACGATCCTGAACACGTTTTTTCCCCGGCCCCCCGAAGGACTCATCACGGAGGTGATGAGTCCGCTCACCATGCACTTTGGGTCGGCCTTGGTCAAGCCCTTTTGACCCCCCCAGCCTGGTTCTCGTAAAAGCCATTTTTCGCTCAAATGATACCATGGAGGAATGTAACGGGAGTTGACAGGGGACTCTCCCCGCCTCACGAGTGCCTATTTTCGGACACTTTTTTTCACATTTTCCCCGGTTCTATTAATTTTTCTTTTGTTGGCTATTTCACCCGGTTCCTTCTAACTGGTACATGCGACCCACCATGGGCCTCCGCCGGCCCGGCCTAGTGCTGCTGCTCTGGCGGTTGGTTCTTCCGAACTGCGGGTTCGACTCTGATGACCGGGAGGGTGTGCTGCGTTGGGGTGGGGGACTTCCCCCACTCTGCGTGTCTCTTCCTTCCCGGCCGGCCGACGACGCACCGTCTGACGGGTCCCACCACGGGTCCCGCAGCGGGGTAGAGGTTCAGGGCTGGAACCTCCCCACCTCCGCCGCGGTGCACCCGGCCAACACGGTTGTTTGTCGAACCCGCCACTGTTGTCTAGCGGGTGTAACTATACAAGATATCGTTATTTATTTATATAAATATATATATATATATATAATAAGTGTCATTGCGATTTTATTTTGTATTAGCGTGCATTTCCTGTTCGGAAAGTGGCGCTGTACTGAGAGTAAACAATACAATTGAAACAGTTGAGGGGAACGCGTTTGAAGCCCACTGCACCTTTTGCACACAAACAAATTGCGTTTGTTTTGCTAATGTACCGTTAGCTCCTGGGTTTTAGGCGGCGGAAGTGACGTAATCTGCCACCCAGGACAAGAGATAAAAATAACGCCATACTCAGAGAAAGTATTCCTACGGTTTAAAACACATTATTGTACATTAAAGTTACATTCTGATGATTAGTGACATTTCATTTTAAAAATATGAAAAAAGTATTTGAAAAACAAAACACTTTCCACTAGGGAGGAAAAGGTCGGCGCCCTTTATTGACCAGCCGCCACTGATAACAATACTATTTCTGTGTCTCATATATATTCATCCTTTTTTACTTTATATTAATTGCAATGTCTTCTATAGTAACAGTGACTTTAATGATATAGGGCTGACTAGATGTGCTTGCATTATGTTAGCTAATCATGCTTATCTGTTCCCTTCCCTTTTCAGTTTTGTTCTTAGGCAACATTTCATTTGATGGTTGGTGTTTCCTCCAGCAGCCTGTTGAAATTACAGTGCTGTACAACAGCATCAAGTTACAACAGCAAGACAAGACACCTGACCATGGAGGTAACTTTACAAATAATTGTATATTGTGTAGGGCTAGGTATATTTAAAAAGTCGTCAAAACCAACGTTCTTAATCTGTTACCGACCAAATTTCAGTCACATCGATAAGTTATGTGGTCACACTTAGTCTTCAGCCAACACCATACAAACCAAAGCTAAATGTAAATACTGTCGAAAAATAGCAGATTAGCACAGCCTTAAAGTAGCGTTTAGTGTGCATTGGGTGGCGGAGGAAGGGAGATGGTGTGGCAGAGCTCAGAGAGGTATAAATGCTGCTGTCTGAGTGGAGTCTGGTAAGCTGTAAACCATGATGACAGTGAATGTCTAGAGTTACAAATTGTCAGAAAATAATCTATGAATAAAATAGATGGACAAGTGCTACTGACAGTTAATCGTCTTAAATGTATAATGTTTTGCATGATATTTAATCACGTATCTTTTGTACTTTGGTACAACACAAATAAAAATGATAGTAAAAAATACTCTGTAGCCACAGAGCACTTCACCTGGCTGTATCTGACCATTTCGTGGTTATAATTCAGTGTTTCCCACAGAATTTGATTCTATTTGTGGGGGCACCGCACCGCACAAATAAATCAATGTATGGGAAAAACTGTAATTAACAAACAAAATTATTAGAAATGCATATGTGCCAGCATGTCAACTCTAAGCAGCAAAGTGGTGTTGACAGTGTATTATTTCAACTTAAGACTGTGTGTAAGGACATATTTCCAGACTAAATTAACACAGATAATGTTCCAGCTTTTTTGTAATGTGTCTTTTGACAAACTACTTTTGTAAATGGCTTTGAGCCTGATGTTCACAGTTGTGATAAAGGGTCCAGTTTAGTAATGCATCCTGTCTATTAAAATGTAGTGATACATTTACTAAAATTTGAAAAACACAAGGAGGTTAAGAAGCTATGGATAAAGCAGTTATGAAGAACCGGAGGTCTGTCATTGTATTGAAGGGTTGTATTTTGGATAAAAGTATTATTACGTTATTTTTACTTTGCGTATTGATTAGCCTTGAATGCAGTGACAAGTTGTATGTATACATGTGTGATAGAATTCTTTTTTTAAATAACATTTTACATGATAAAAATGGCTCTGAATGTATATTGATGTGTTCATATTTAAGCAATAAATTGCAAGACAGTAAGTTCTGTAATTTACATAATTAATTTATAAATTATAATGTACTTTCTATATATTTCACAGGTTACCAAGGGAAATTGAGTCATTCAGCAATTTTGTCTTCGACAGCTAATGCAGAGTAAGTTGATCAACTCAGTACTGTTAGAAGTTTAAGTTGACATATAAATGTTTTTGTAACATGGTTTAGTTTCAAGAGGTTTAAAGATTGAATTAATTTGTGTTTTTTTCAGATTCCACTAGATGGGTGTGCAAAACATGTAGCTTTGAATCTAACAAAAGGACAGGATTGTTAAAGCACTACAGGCTAAAACATGTAAATGGTGGACGCTGCAACTCAGTCCCTTGTCTTTATACAGATTGCCCTTGTTCGTTTAAAACATTTAATGCCCTTCGTGCCCATTTGTCCCGAGAGCACACAGAGTCAGTAACACCAGGTCTTTCATTTAATTGTCTACTATGCAATTCTAGTTTTCATTCAGAGAGGATATATCTTGAACATCTTGGTAGCCATTTGAGGAGGTTTGAAGTAGTTGCGTGTGTATTCAAAGATTGCAGCTTCAGTACAAACATATATTCAACCTTTGTTACTCATAGACACAGGAAACATTCTCAACATGGCCCTGAACACTTTAAAACTGAGGTCTTGAAAAGATACCCTGATCCCACTGTTGCTCAGGATGAGTCTCTGTTTACGGAGGATGAGGATGATGGCCCTGAGCATTTTGTTGAGGAAGCAGAGGATTTACCTCAGGTTATAAAGGAGAAGTTTGGCCACCTCTTACTAAAACTAGAGAGCACTTTCAATGTTCCAAACAAGTGTATTGACACAATTGTAGATGAGCTACAGTTCATATCCTGCTCTGCATCTGGTCCAGTTTTAAGAGATGTGATTGAGTCCACTTTAAAGAGCCATAACTGTGATTTGGATGAAGCTGTAATCTCAGATTTGGTGAAAAATCTCTGTGAGTCACACCCTATGAGTTCAGTTTTGGGAACAGATGGACCTTTTACTACTTCGTACAAGAGAAGAGAATTTATGAAGAAACATTTTTCCGTTGTTGAACCAAAAGAGTACATACTGGATAAGAGAGAGGGTAAAACATTCCAGTATGTACCTATATTGCAGTCCTTGTTGCAGTTATTAAACAATAAGAATATCCAAGAAAAGGCACTAGGTAGTGAAAGAAACTCTGAACGTATACTTCACAATATCTGTCCTTTCATGATGGATCTCACTATCAGAAAAATGATTTTTTCTCTGCAGAGGAGGACAGAATTAGTATCATTCTGTACATTGATGACTTTGAGGTATGTAATCCTCTTGGGACTTCCCGAAAAAAGCACAAAGTCACGGCTGTGTATTGGGTGCTGGGAGACATTCCAGCACAGTCACGATCAACATTGGACTCTATTTATTTAGCTATTCTGTGTAAGGCACAGGACACTAAGCAGTTTGGATTCCAGAGAGTTTTAGAGCCACTTTTAACCGATCTGAAAAGCTTGGAGAAAGATGGTCTTTTTGTTACAGCTTTGGGAAAAGTCATCAGAGGGACTGTGGTGAGTGTGGTGGCAGATCATTTGGGTGCCCATTCTGTAGCAGGATTTGTCGAAAGCTTTATGTCTTCTCATGTCTGTCGGTTTTGTCTCGGGGAGCGGTCCGACTTTCAGTCTAAAGAAGTAAGATCTGGCTTTTTCCAACAAAGAACTAAAGAGCAACATGAGCTGCATGTTCAGACAGCTTTGTCTAGTCTGAATCACACTCATTGCAATGGTGTGAAAAAAAAGTGTGCACTATCTGAAACACTTGACCATTTCCATGTAACATCTGGTTACCCTCCAGATGTTTTACATGATTTTCTTGAGGGCATTGTTCCAGTGGAGTTGGCATTGTCATTTGAAATCTTGATCAAGAAGAAATATTTTTCTCTCATGGAACTCAATGACTCCATTCGACAGTTCCCATTTAAGTGGAGCGATAAAACAAATCGCTCTCATCTTGTCCCTGGTAACTTTGCCAAACGAAGATCAGTGGGAGGCAATGCCCATGAAAACTGGTGTTTGCTGCGTTTGCTTCCTCTGATAATAGGTTTAAAAGTACCGGAACATGAGCCAGTGTGGCAGATGCTGATGATCTTGAAAGACATAGTGGACCTTGTGATGTCCCTAGTCCATACAGAGGAAAGCATTTGTTATCTTGACAGTTTGATTTCTGAGCACCGATGGAGATTCCTTGAAGCGTTTCCCCAACTAAAGCTCCGTCCTAAGCACCACTTCCTTGAGCACTATCCTCAGCTCATTCGAGAATTTGGCCCTGTTGTTGCCCTGTGGACAATGAGATTTGAGGCTAAACACAGCTTCTTTAAGAGAATTGTCAGACAAACGGGCTGTTTTAGGAATATCTTGCTGTCCCTTGCAAATAAGCACCAGCTCATGATTGCACACCATCTCCATGATTCAAATGCAGTCAGACCATCACTGTCAGTCACAAAAACAACAGAGGTCTCTTTAGATGTACTTAAGGATGACATAAAAGACATGGTGAAGTGTAGATATCCAACTGTCACAACAGTACATGTTGCAAGTAATGTGTGCTTTTTAGGCACCAACTATGCTACTGGGATGATGGTGTGTTATGGTTCTACCGCAGGATTGCCTGACTTTGCCGAGGTGTTACAGATGATGTTGATTCGTGACAAACTGGCCTTTGTTGTCAGACTACAAAACACATGGTACAATGAGCACCTTAGGAGCTACGAGTTAGAGAACACCAGCAATGTGCAATTACTTGAGCAAAAAGAGATGGCTGATTTTTGCCCTTTGGCTGCATACACTCTAGCAGGAAGACGACTGACTACTTTGAAGCACTACATTTGCCTCTCCTATTAGTTGTGAAATGTGAGTACAAGTTGTTGCAATCCTTTATCAGTGGGATTGATTTCAAGTTGATTCATTCTTTATTTCTCTGTTTCTGATGCAGCTTCTTCTGTTGAAATGGATACAACACCTGCAAAGGTCCGTATCATTTTTGAACATAATGATATTCGCAAACTGGTTCTGCCCTCGGGAATCCCAAGAACACTTGAGGAACTTATTTGTGAACTTCAAGAGGCATTTCATATTCCAGGGGAGTTTACTGTGATGTATCAAGACATGGATTTTGATGGCCAGTTTTGCACTTTGAGCTGCATTGAAGATGTAGAAGACAAGGGAACACTAAAGGTTTTACAAACTGAACCAATTGTCCTTAATCTCAGTCCTGTGGAAGTATTGGATATTGACTCCTCAATAGCAGAACAATCTTCTGACAACTCCTCTCGCCACTCATCTGGACCTCAGGACACCATCCTGCTCTCTTCCTCTGGAACATCTTACTGGTCCGAACTGTGGCCAGCTAAGTTTCAAGTGCCTACTTTTTGTTACGATGTAGACGTTTTGCTGGAGGCAGGCAACCAGGCTTACCAAAAGGATGGCACCCTGTTGAGCAATCCAAGACTGAGAAGTAGCGTACTTGAGAAATTAGCTGAGGAAATATTTCGCTATACAGCATACCCAACCGGTGTACAAGTTTTAGCTGTGATAGAAGCCTTGTTAGAAAAGTACCCATGCCTCAAAGAGCCAGGGTCTTTTAATGGCATGTATGGTTGGCAGCAGAGGATCAGATATAAAATGGGCAATTACCGGGCAAAATTAAGATGCCGTAAATTTGTCTGCCCAGAGTTGGAGGTGAACTCGCGTAAAAGTCAGGCGTCAAATGGCCCCAAAGGCATCAAAAGGCCTAAGAAAGCTGAAGTGAACTACCTGCCACCACTGCCATTTGGGGAGACAGGTGACACTTTAGAGAGGGAGAGAATAGACTTACTGAATGTAATAAAGAAGAAAAACAATGACAAGATCATTGGTGAAAAAATGGAGAAGTCTTTCTCCTACCGAAGACTAGAAGTTGTCCAGCATTGCCCTGCAGTCCACGACTTCATGGAGAGATGGCCCGCAATGTTCTCCGAACTTCAGGTAATCCAGCTCTTCGTGTGTTTCTCTACCTGATGCTGAGATTGCTGTGATTGACTGCATTACTTTTAGCTAGGTGTACCTAATTAATTGGGTAATCATTATTGTTGCAACACAGCACATGACATGTGTTTTTATCACCTTGTTGTTTCAGATCAAAGAGGAGTTCCGAAGGATTACAACAATTCATCTCGAGCGAACCTTTTTGACCAAACTGGACTTTTACACCCCAAAACTGCAGGAGATACTTTGGACAAAAGGCGGAGTTGCAGGCACAAAAATAAGACCCCTGCTGGATTCACTCAGTCAGGTAAAGTGTCAAATTCATACAATTACAATCAATCAACGTATGTTGGGCTCTTATTCACTGAGAAAAGATAATAATAATAATAATGTAATGATCTGGCCGGCCTAAAATCAATAGTTAGTTAAATACTAGGGCTGAACGATTAAAAAAAAAGATGTAATTGCAATTATTTTAACTGATATTGCAATTGCGATATCAGGAAACAAATGATCATCATTATTCTCATTTTCATTGAAACATTTTTAAATGATCATGGTGTGATTTTTGCGAGGATTTGTAGCAAACAAAAATGTTTTCTTCAGACTGTAGAATATGATGTGTAGGCATCTCTGCAGCACGACAATATTACATTTAAAATGCTACTTTGACACACATTTTTCCTTTTACAAATATCGCACCTGCTGCGATTTGAAAATTGTTGTAGGCAATATTGCAGTTTCGATAACATTTTAATTGATTGTTCAGCACTTTAACCTAATGAATCACCTTTTGCATATTCAGTCACTTCAAAGAAAACATGTACAGTATAGTGTATCTCAACACCGATTCACATGTTTTGACAGGATGTGAGCAAAGAAATCGTCAGAGAGGACTATGCTGAGCACGTCATGAAAATAGTTGTCCTCCGTGGAAGTGCAGCACACGAAGGCCCTGCCGATGTGTCCATCATCATCGAGGGAAGTGAGGTTCTTGATGACTGCAGATGTGTGTCAAAGGCTTGCCTTCTGCTCATGGGCTTCATATATGCAATGAACTTAAGTTATCCACCGAAGATGAAATACACTTTTGAGGTATTTCAGAAGCTCTTTCTTGAGCTAAATGTCCTGAAGATGTCTCCAAAAGTCCATGCATTGTGCAACAAACTTGTAGCCTAAGTGTATGCAAAGGTGTTTCTTCAACTTGCAGTTCAGAGGAAATACTTAGTAGTTATGGTGTCGAGCAACAGTGACCTTTTTCATATGTTTTGCCTGAGCCCACTTTGTACAACTACATGTTTTGTATATTGTTAAGATAATGTTTCAAAACCTTGTTTAGGGGGTTCTTGACACCGCACTTTTTAGTTTCCCCTGGAAACAGTTTCATTTGTTGTGCTTTGAGTATTTGCAGGGATGAGTGATTGCACTTAGTTTTCTTGCAAAGTCATTGTACTGTAGATGTGCTGAATATGATTAGGGCCACATGTGATTTATTTTTTTTAAGTCAGAATTCTGACTTGAAAACTAAAATAATTAATGTTTTGAGTATGGCCCTAATCCTATTCCATAAAAATTGGACATGGTCATTGGACATTTTATCTGAGATGTACTGAAATAGATCACTATAAATTCTGTCCTCAGGATCAGCCAGAGAATGTTGTTTTAAGAATGTTTCATCTTCACTGAGACTATCGGTAAAAAGTGTTCTAACCATTCTGTTTAGCTGCACCGATGTAGGTGCTGTGTGCACCAGATTGCATATGTTTGAACCATTGTAAACTGTTGCTTAGTCCTGGCTGGTACCAGTGTTTCAAAACATAAAGTTGCTGTTTCAAAGAGTACATTGTTTCATGTTTTGTATGCCCATATTTAACAGGGTAGTGCTGTTAAAGGTAGAATACATATTATGTAAATATTACTTATATATTTAAGTAAAAGATACTATGCAATAGTGAGTACACTTAAATAGAAGCAGAAATATTATGTAAATATTACTTATATATTTAAGTAAAAAATACTATGCAATAGTGAGTACACTTAAATAACAAAAACAGAAAGCACAGTAAAGTTTACTTGTGTACCTGTTGTTAGAAACACTTCTGAACTGTAAGTAGAATTTACTTGAAATATAGGTTGTTACATTTATTTACAATTTCTGCGTGGAATATTGTTACAGAGGTTTTTCTAAGTAAATGTCACTCCACTTTTTTTTCAGTGAGGTTTATTCTCAATACTCATAACAGTATCAGACACAATGACTTTACTGAGAGTGAAGATGGCATGAACATAGTTACTGTATGGTACTGAAGACAAAATACAGTATATTGCATTTACCTCTTCCTCTAACTCTCTTGCTTCTGCCCTCCTCGACTACGGTCTGGGAGCCGACAGGAAAGTTCAACACACAGATGGCCAGTCCGCCCCTTTGTAGCATATTATTTCAATGAGAGATGAGCAGATCGCCACTGGGCTTTCAACTAAAGACACAGCCACGCAAAAACTGTGGTATTTGTACAGCTCCTTATGGGTACTGCAATTTGTGCTTTCCTCCGTGGTGAAACGATCAGCCCTGCACCACGGAGGAAAGCGGCAGAAAGTCACCTGGAGTTAAACAGAGCGGGGCTGCGCTGCGTGCATGGCTTCCTTCTGCAGGTAACGGGGAGACGCGCCCTGGCGGCGGTCTCGTTCAGGATCCGAAAATACAATTTAAATATTTTGCACACTTATTCCACTTATTCCTAGTGTGCCACTGGTTACGGTGCCGCGTGCCAATGCTGGCACGCGTGCCAGGGGTTGCCGACCCCTGCACTAGACGCTCAAAAGAGGAATGTGTGTGTAAGGCTTACATGAACTGAATTGAAACACTGTCCATTAGTTGATTAATAAACAAGACATTCAAGTCAAAGTTTTAGGCATTTTCATTTTTAGCACGCTGTAAATATGGACTATGAATGAACGTGCGTTCAGGATGAAGTGTTGTTACTGTCTTAGTTACCGTCCGGTTAAACATGTTCCTGGGGATGTGGCTCATTTTAGACAGGTTAGACACAGCCAATAGTAAAACATACACTTTAATATAACTAGCACAAGGTAGCTACTCCCCAGAAATGGACTGACTGGTCTGTGTGTGCTGCACAGAGGTCACAGTTGTGTTTTGTTCCTGTTCTGTTGTTAAAGAGTTCTTTTTCTTCATTCATAGTATAAAAGTAAATCAATTCATATCAGTATGTATAAGAAGTTGTAAGTAGAAAACATTTAGGAAAAAAGATGACTTCTTATTTACTCCTTAAAATAGCACAATGTTATTAAACCAAAATGTTACCCTAAAAGAAATAATACAAAGCAAACTGAATACGTATTTATTTTGTTTCTCTTCTTACACGTGGGGCTGAAAGACTCGACCCCCGTTGAGCTGGAGCATCATGGCTGCAGGTGTGACGTGTGTTACTCTCCTGCTCCAGTCACATGACTCCCAGTGGGTCCCCAGTACTCAGCTGTACAGAGCAGCAGTGGTACAAACCAAGAACTATGGCAAGTCTGAGAATAATGTCATGAAATACTAAAACTACACACTCATCATGTCTCATACACACATCATCTCATCATTTCTATATCTTGCTTAAACCCAGTGTGTAAAACCAGGCCCGGTAGAGAACATGGCTGGGATGTCCGCAATCCAAAGCAGAGAACAATGTCAGAGAAAGTAAGGTGAGAGATTAGTAGTTATGTGAAAGTAAGCTATACACACAGAATAGTTTATGTGTTGATGTCTCTGAGAGCTGCTGGATCTGTCTGCCCTCAAAGTGCCAGGGATCTACAAGGACTTCACCGCTGCTTCTGCACCATAGGTATCCCTGTGAGGTGCCACTAGTGGACTCTGCTCTCTGTAAAGTTCAAGCTGGCAGTCCCTTGTCCTATGAACATCACCATGACAGCTAGAAGTCACACCGCTGCCCACCACCATGCTCCACCATGGCCAGATCTACCACTGGCTGGCTACAGACTACAACCATCTGCATGCGTTTTTTGTTGTTGTGAACATCAACAGCTGCCCTTAAGGGGATAGTTCTGGTCTTTTGAAGTGGGGTAGTATGTGGTATATATCCATAATCAGTGTACTACCTACAGTAGTCGTGTGGAGAAACAGGAGCCCCGGCACAGCAGAGCCGTACTGCTGAGGACGTGGGCAGAAGCAACATTTATTTTATCCACCCAAAAAAGCTATATCAGTTTAAGTGTACGTTATTTAATGCTAAAAATAGCGATTTTTTTCAGATGGGCCTTAATTTTTGGGTGGATAACATAGGTTTTGCTGCTGTGTTTTTAGAAAAATGTGATTATTTGTGGCCTATTACAGCTTTGTGCAATTACCAAGACACAAACTGGTACTTTTGGCACAATTATTAAAACCACAAACTCATTGCCTTTCATCTATTGAACAAATATGCTAAATCATAAGCACATCGTCTGCTTTACACTAAGTTTGATATTCCAAAATACACTTTTTGAAAATAACTACTCACTCTTATTTAGCCTACATTAGATACGTTATTCAAAACCAACAGCCTGTGTGTTGTTTGCTAAACACTGCCACTGAAATACCACACTCAATTATCAAACCCCTGCCCCCAGAAACATGTTAAAAGCCACGTAACCAATTAGATCACTTAGAAACCTGAGCTTGAACACTTTGTTGTGCACAACAATGGAGGCCAATTTTGGAGAGAGAGTTAGAGGAAGAGGTAAATGCAATATACTGTATTTTGTCTTCAGTACCATACAGTAACTATGTTCATGCCATCTTCACTCTCAGTAAAGTCATTGTGTCTGATACTGTTATGAGTATTGAGAATAAACCTATTTGTGTGTTTCCACATTGCATGTGTTCATTCATAGTCCATATTTACAGCATGCTACAAATGAAAATGTCTAAAACTTTGACTTGAATTTCTTGTTTATTAATCAACTAATGGACAGTGTTTCAATTCAGTTCATGTCAGCCTTACACACACATTCCTCTTTTGAGCGTCTAGTGATTATGGCCTGCATGTCTTTCTGTTGTAACTCAGCTGTCAGCTTCTTAGCAGTTTAGACAAACATCAAATTCATAATATAGACTAGTTGGACAAAATAATGCTTAACAACTGTTCCATTTACTGTGTGAACTGTTTTAGGGGTCGACTGTATGAGATATCGTTCTCCCGCTTGCTGCTGGGTGCAGGTGAAAGTAGGGCGACAGTTCTGTTCACATCGCTGACATTTGTCACAGGTAATGCTTGCAGGTATGCAACAAACTTCACGTTGTCACACAGCGACAAGCTGGACACTGGATTTACCGACACAGTACAAACCGGAAGTCGTACAAACCAGAAGTCAACGAATTAAAGTTATGCAAAGAGCTTGCATACTTGTATTAATCTCTATAAACGCATATCTGCATGTGAATGCAGAAATAAACGTATCCTCGTCAGACTTCTGGGTTCCAGGATTGAACTTGTACAGCATTGCCATTATATCCTCGTGTCTTTTATTTTGAAATATGTTCTTTAACTTCCGGTCCACCGGACCGCTTTTCTTCATTCTTCAATACAAAACGGACAATTGAATGAAGTTGTTATCAAAAACCAAAATCGGACCGTTTTTTTAATTAGGTCTTCTTCTTCTAATTGAAACAACAACAAAAACAGAAATGGGTTGTTTTTTTGTTTTTCAATTTTGCCCCAAAACGGAAAAACGGAAATTCAGCTCGTTTTTCTGTTCTCACTGTTAAAACAAGTATACTGTTGTGCACCGACAGAAATGCTAGAGAGATGCATGTTATTTACGTTTGCTTTCTCTCATTCCAGGCTTCCTGATTATTTTCACCTGTGTCTCCTGTGCTCATCAATGTCAGCCCCGCCCCTGATTGGTCCCACCTGTGTCTAGTTACCCTGTGCTTATATTCCCCTGTCTCCCAAGTGTTCTTTGTCAGTTCGTATTGTCTCT